CGCGAGAGAAAAATGAATTTGTAGCTGTATGTAACGTCGCATTAGTCGGAAAAGACGCTTTAATCATGTTTGAACACCTTGATTGTGTCGGATATGATGTTGTTTGATTATGCACCATCAGGTACAAAGAGTATTTTAAGATTGAAGTGTTTTACGCTCGTCGTATTTTACAATATGACCTCAGTTGAAATGAAAACTGCTTTAAAAACAATTTTAAAGTATTCCTTTTATTGTGCTATTAAAAAAATTTGAACTAAAGTAACTAACATCACTAATTGGCCACAACTTTTATTGAATGCCGTCACAAATGATCCGCGGCGCCAACAGACTGTAGTCGCTCTATGTAATAATCGCTATTCTGTTTTGGTTTCAACTTTAGTTCATTCGTTGTCATATTTTCTACTAAATTACTAAAGGTATATAAATCGACTGATATCGACTGATATCGAATACATGACGCAGTCTGTTCAGGAGTTGTATTTGTTTGTTTTTGTTGTTGGTATTGTTATCGTTGCTTTGTTTTGTTCTTTTGTGTATTTGCCGGTTTGCATTTTGCCTTTTGCGTTTGATCTTCCAGGAGTATGGGCGCCTATTTTCTTAACTGACGTAACTAAACAAAATACGCGAATATAGTTCAAAATTCCATCATAACTTGTTTAAATTGAAAACATAAAACAGTCATCATGGATCTCACGACAATTATTGTATTTCTGATAACATTTGTTCATATGTTTGAAAGATAAACATTTGGCTTGGCTGGCAACTAACTAAATTCTTTTTCAGCTGACTTAGATGAAAACACAAGTGGAAATATTGTATTATAATCATTTTTAGCATTGGGTTTTTTTCGAATTCTATACTATTCAATCCTATTACGTGCGTGCACCTTGTATAAACGGCGATTATTTAGAATACGCAAACATTAAAGTGTGTTCGTGATCATCGATGACGTCACATTTTGAGGCTATAGTTACAAGAGCGACTGTGAAACGTAAACAATATTCGTTTATCTTCCTTCTCAGCTGCAAGGCTACAGTCTAAAGTTATCACCAGTAATATTTTATACTGATTAAAGCCCACTTTCTTGAGGATTTCTGGTCATTTTTCTGTATTTGGTTTGGTCTTCTTTGTGCCTAAGTCTCTTCTGGCAATTGCGAGAAAATGGAGTCGTGAAAAAAATTGCAATTTTTATCCTAAAGCCTCGGAGTCACGTTAGAATTTTAATAGATATATATCGAACGTGGGTGTCTGCCTGAAAGAATTTTCGACTGCGACTTCTTATTCAAAGGGCGCAGTGATTCTTTGAACATACTTCTAAACTCATACTTTTCTTTTCATCACAATCTTTTCGCAAATTAAAACTGTCATGAAAAGATGTGCGTCCCTTCATCGCGGAAGCAGTTAACTACTAATTATAGCCAAAAAATTTCATTAAAAGAGAAAATGAAAAGCACCGAGCGATATTTCCTCATGCTATACAGATAAACGAGGATAAATGATCTTATTCATTAACTTGTGTTTTAATATTTTGCCATGTCTCATAAGTAATCCATTTATATTCTAATGTATACCCAACTTGCTTAGAGCAGTGGGCCTCTCCGGAAAGTCAGTCACAAAAGGAGCATATATTTGCTTTGGTGTGTAACACTCCACTCACCACAACAAACATGGCCCCAATATTGTGAATTCGCCCATAAGCTTATTCATAAATTGCCACAACGTTATTTACCAATTCTGACACATAAGAAATTCAGAATAGCTTCGCTCGATTAAAAACAATTGCAAAAGGCGTAAAACGATTAAATAAGTCTAAAACGTTTTTTTCATAATTAAACGAAAAACGTCAAGGAAAACGACAGAAAGCCTCGTAAAGTAAAGGTTTGCCCGATGAAACAAATTAATTGAAAGGAGAAAGAGAGAAATGTTTCATAAAATTGTGGTGAAAAGGGGACTTTCAAATTGCGACCTAACGGCGTTAAGTTTCTGATCGATGTCTTGAAGTAGCATTTATACTTGGGAAGGCACCCTTCCTAATAAATCAAGGGAGTTATGGCCATAAACAACATACATGCAGCTTATCTCATCAAAACCCAAAAAATATATTTATTTAAAACAAGGCCTTTGTTAGTAAAATTAATTTGCGTCAAAATGTAACTTTGACATCAATGTGGCGCGGTAAACTCTTCAGTAAAACGACAATTTTTTCAAATAAAGATTTTCATACGCTTTTCTCCCTTTCTGAGTCCATAATCATTAAAAATGTAAAAGCTTTTCTTTGTGCAAATGATGGTCGACAGGTGAATACGACTTCCAGTTTGTTTGTTTGCATTTTTAAGCTTCAATGTATTAGTAAAAACAATCAAAAACAGATATGACAAGATCAATATTTAAGCAAGCAGAACGCGAAAGAGCGTAAGGCCATCCGCTTTTTTTTCTCCGTTTACCGTCGTCCGACCGACCCAAATTTTTGGCATTTTCAAAAAAAAAAAGGAGCGACGTAGTTAAACCATTTTCCGCTCGAAATAATTCTTTTAATCTGAAAAATTAGCATAGTGACAGCATAGGGAAAAACAGGAACAAAAACATGAACATTTTTCACAGCATATTGTACATTTTGTTAATCCAAATATGTGAATGTTAACATTTAACGTTGTCCTGGGGTACCAGAGCCTACTATTCCGAGACTTCTTGTGATTTTTTTTTTTAGGTTTTCTTTTTTTTTTCAATCCGACCGACCGACCCAATATCAGGGAACGCATTCGACGGTAAACGAAAAAAAAAAAAAGGGGGATGGCCTTTTGGAAAATTGCGACTTCGATCTTTTCTTTAAATTCTCAGATTTATTTAATAATCGCCTTTTGCATGGCCAAAGCTTATTTCCTTTGGATATCATCATCTCTTCGCTTAAAATTGCAATCGAATTAGATAATGAATATTGAGGAATCAAAACGTAAGTTTACGAAGGCACCTTGCTAAGATGAAATATGAAACGCAAACTGTGGTAAGTCTATGTTTACAAAAGAACAAAGTGAAGTCTCAAATATGACGTATAGGAAATGCAACGTTAAGATCATTTAAAGCGTCCCCTGCTTTGATCTGTTATTTAACATTATATTTATTCTAACCCTCAGGCGCCAAAAAACTTCATAGCCGTACGCATCTGGCCAATAATTTTGCGGACCATTAGCCTTAATTGTTTAGTGAAGTATCACGCTAACGCAGCTAACGCATGACGCAGCAACATTTATAATAAACGCTCGCAACACGAATAGCAATTTCAGATTCGACTGGAATACGATTACTAGGCTAACATTACCAGTTTAAATAAAAACCGATACGATAAATGAAAGAGATATGAATTTTCCCCATTCTTTATTGACCTATTTATTATCTTTCCCCCGGTATGGGTGCTATTTCAAGAATTTTGAATTTTACGTCAACTGACTGTTTCTCATGCATGAACGGAGGTTCAAACAAAAAACAGTTTCGTGTCTCCCTTTTTTTGGGATAAAATACTGAGTGTCTTTAATTTTATTCATATAAGGTGTAAACTATTTGTTAGACCGTGTTTTAATGAATACACTTAAACAATACCTTTCAAAGTAAATCCCGGCAAATAAAGTTTTATTGCTGAATACAAATCGTTACTTTCGTAGGAAGTATTTTTAATTATTATAGTCAACTGAGTAACGAAAGTCTGGAGTCGATTCACGCCACAGAACAAAGGCCCATTGACTTTAAATCGTTTAGACGAGTTCTCCGTTGCGAGATATTTACATGTAAATTTAGTCACGCAGTTTTACCTTTAATTGCGTTCTGTCCAGCTTAATTTAGCGTTTTAAATATTCGTAAAATAAGCAGGTTCAATGTTGCGACAAATTATTCACTGCAAAACAAGGCAAGCAAACAGGGTGTCCAATGCTGTGAAAGCAATTTATTCGGCTGTCTTGATGTGAATTCTTACTATCCTTAATTTTTCAAGTTCACGCAAAGCGTGAAAGAGTTCCGCCAACATTTGAATTTGTATTTTGAGTCGAATCCCTCATGTCGATTTGAATACCTGAGCCTAACAAACAAAAGATTCGTCTTAGGATCACTTTCACGGCTCTCTTCACCTCTTTAATCTTCCACACATAAAACAATGGGTTTAGAGACGAGTTTAAGTAAACTAGAGTTGTTGTAGATCGCGAAAGGATCTTCTGTTTTCCACTCCAGCCGTTTGCCGTTATTATAATAACAGAGATTATGTAGGGCAAGTAACATGCAAGTAATGCCAACTGTACCCAGGCAATGCTCGAAACCGTCCTCTTGTATTTTCTTATGTTCAGCTGAAATCCTGCGCTTTTCGGCTGTCCTTGAGCCTCGTCCCCGCTTAGTTGAAGCTGAGATTGATGTTGCCGTAGTCCACAGAAAATCTTCGTGTAAGAAATTAGTGAGATGAGGACTGACAGAATCACAAAAGCAATGCCTGCAGTTTCGGCGATAAAATACCCAAGAAATACGTTCAGGAATACACCGCAGATCGCAATCAACCAAAAACATGCTAAAGCCGCGCGCACTCTTTTCAGTGTTACGACATGTCTATAGCGTATGCCGTGCACCAAAGCGAAAAGCCTGTCCACACTTATGGCGGTGGATGTGAACATGGAGACTCCACAGAGAATGAAGCTGGAAGCGTTGTTTACGTTGATGGCAATGTTTCGAAATGTACAGCTGATTCTCACAACATCATCTAGTAGAATATATGCGGCATAGAGAGGCTGTGCAATAAGACCAACACAGAGATCCGTGAAAGCCAAGCATTTGAACAGGAGTTTCGTTGGTGGGTGAATAGAGGAGACTTTCCGAAAAGCAAAAAGGATAAGAGTATTGCCCAAAAACGCGACGACGGAGAGAAAAATATTCAAAGCAGACAAAAATACGTGAGCTATAACTTCTGGTGAATAGTTGACTTGACTTGAGCTGCTTGTTAAATTCTGACCTTCATAACAGTCTCCCATCTTGTTTGGCTGTCGCTGTTTCTATGCCATAGCTTCGCTTTTCTGAGAATACTTGCCAGCGGTACTTATTATAACACCTTGCATAATTTGTCATTAACGATCGACCGCTGTCCGTGGGCTAGTAAAATTACGATATTGAATTCCTTTTGACGCACTTTTAATCCGTCCGCCCATACGTTTCTTTACGAATTAAAAACAACCAGACAATTACATCAGTACATAAGCATCAAAATTTCTTCAAATTTCCTTTCCCAGAAACTTCGTGATTCACGATATATAATTTTAAAGTAAACAGAGTTTCAATTGATCATTTTTTCAAATATACATATTAAATCTTCTATTTATATTCGTCTATGACGTAATACAACCGAATAAAGGAAGACAAAATATAAAGTGTGTGGGCGTATTACATGGTGAAAACTTTCGAAAGACTTGACAGGCGAATGCCCGGAAGAAAGTAAAATTCATGCAATCCTTTAGGGTGTAAAATAAAACACTTGCCCCAATCAAGTGGTGAATTAAAGTTTGCCGGTCCCGGGCACTTAGTTAATCCCTGGAACAAGGTGTCTAGTGGGTAAAAAATCTGGTTTCTCTCATTTTTCCACTGGATAGCGATTAATCTAGTCGAAAGCGCTATCCAATTTTTTGGAACGCTTGGGCCAGGTCTAGAAGCGATGACGTCATGTAACCGACTAGAGGAAGACAAAACGTAATACTATACATTGTATCCACTATCAAAACTATCTGTCTTCTCATTGGCTAAGAGCCTACAGTTAATTTTGGGAATCAGCGCAACTTACTGATTGGCTAGTTGTCTCCAATCTGCAGGTTGTGTGCGCAATGCATGACCTCCAAGAGCAATGTCAAATAGTGCTCCATGCGATCTCGACGGTGTGTTGGTCGATATATTTCTTCATAACAATGTATAATAAAACAATTACTACATTCGCTATTTGTGATATCAGAAATAATCAAGGTCTCGGTAAATGTTCTCGGCCTCAGCACACGGTCTCGGCTGATAAAACTTATCTCGACCTTGATTATTCCCAATATCACAAATACATCATCCAAAAATTTCATTCAGTAAAATGTGTTGACATATTACGCGTGTATAAATAATTTTTGGCAGACTTGAAAGGCTTTATAGTAGCAAGATCAATGTAATTCTTGGCCTCGATCTCAGAGTGGTCAAGAAAGACCTTTCCTAAAATAAATATAATAATTGCTATTATTATTTCGTGGCCTGTCAGGTAAATAAATACGTAATCACGCAATATCTATTACTTGTACTTTTCCTCTTCTGTAGTATACACAAAACACAACTCGTGTAATTCTTGCGCCAGTATTATTAGCTTATTTTTAATTATTAAATAAAATAATTTCATACCTCTATATTGCGTTTTTTGCAAACACATCTTAAGCTAGGAAACCAAAAGACTTCATCACTACTGACTACTGTCATCAGCTAGGCCCTGCAATATTTCCACAGTCGAACCTATGTTCATTTTGGCAAATTCTGGATAGAAAATCTTTTGTGAGACCTTAAGCAGCTCGAACTAAACACCCTGATAAAGAGAACAAAATTGTCCTGACGCAATAAACACGGCAGAAACGGGAAGTTTTTAAGTGTCTTCCGTCTTGGCTTACTGCCACGACTCTATATTCCTCGTCACGGATGAGGGCGATTGACGCGGTTCACTTACAATTTTGAAATCGAAGATTCTCCTTCGTTGCTCAAGGTCGCTACTCTCTCATGATCAAGAATTCACGATCAAATCAGACATCTTTATTAAGCCGTTGAAGGAGCTCAGGACTGAGTCCCCCATTTTCTTTTTGGATGGATCGGAATTAACTATCCACTAGGGTTGAATGCTGATGCGACAGCTATATTCATGAATTGTTTTAAAAACCCAACGTACAAAAAAAACCTGCGATTAAGAACCTGGTTTTTAAGAACCTGTTAGGCTAAAATTTGCCAGTTAGGCCCCCTCTATACAAGAAACTGTTAAGCCTAAAATTTGAAACACGTTCTCATTTTCTCAAATCTACAAAAAAAAAATTCAGTATCCTGGTGCAATTATGAGATAAGCCAATATTCAGGATCCTCTTTGGAGGCATAGGTGCAGGGGCGGATCTAAGGGGAGGGTGCAGGGGGTGCGCACCCCCCCCCCCCCCCCGGAGACACACCAATTTTTTTATAACCCTGGTATTCTGCACAAAAAAAAAAAACATGTGGGGTTATTGGTTTTAAAGAGAGAAGAGAAGAGAGGACCCCCCCCTCAGTTTGGCCCCCTCAAAACAAAAACTGGTAAAACTAAAAATTTAAAAACCTTTTCTATTTCTCAAAATTAAAAAAAAAAAAATTAGTTTCCCGGGGGAATTTTGGGAAAAACCAAATTTCAGGGTCCCCTTTGGGGGGCAAGGGGGAGGGGGCGGATCAAAGGGGGGGGGGCGGGGGGTGCCCCCCCCCCCCCCCCCGAGATGACCTACAGTTTTCTAATACATCTGGTATTCTGCCAAAAAAAAATAACTATGTGGTTTATTGGTGTTGAAGAAGAGCAAGAGATGAGTGCACCCCCTCCTAAAAAAAATCCTGGATCCGCCCATGAGGTGTCTCAGTTATCACTCCAACTGCAATGTAATGGGTATGCAGTTTTTATATAAGGAATAAGCTGAATATACCACAAAATACTCTTACCTACAATACATTTTTTCTTCAGAAAATAAGAAACTATGTAAGAACGTAAATATCCAAATTTGTGTTAATTACCATTTATGTAAGAACCTATTTAGGCTAACACGGGAAAATGCAGGTTCTTAGTCGCCGGTTTTATTCTTCTCTTTAAAAGTGTTTCGCCTAAACTGAATTCGAAACGCTGAGGTTCGTATTTTCTAAAATATATTATTAAATAAATCCTATGCTCTTGGGCAAATAAAATAAATCTACATCCAGGATCCTCTTTGGTGACATAGGTGCCTTAGAGTTGCATCACTCCAACTGCAAATTATGTAATGGTATGCAAATTTTATATAAGGAATAAGCTGGATACCAACAAATACTCTTGGCTACAATATATTGTATTTCCTTCAGAAACTTTGAACCTATTTAAAAACCTCAATAGCTTAAATATTTTTCAATTATCATTTATGTAAGAACTTATTTAGGCTACCGGCCTTGGCAAAATGTAGATACTAACTCATGGGTTTTTATTGTATTAAGTGACAAGAGCTTGTTTACCGACTACCGGCATATGAGCCTGCCATCTTGTACTAGCAGCATGACAGCGTACTTCCACAGTAACATTGGGTCGTTCTAAAGTACATTTTTTACAGTCTGCTCACTTATAAACGATCTCACAGCTCTCCATGCACTCAGAATACTCAGTACCTCGATTAAAAGAACTATGTCTAGTGAGCGAGGGTTTTTTCCGGCCTTGCCGGCTTATGGGCTTTCATTATAACCAGAACACGGACTTTGAAGCTGTCTTTTCAATTTAGATTTTGACATAAAACAGCAGACTTGGGAAATTTTCCCTTGAAAAAGTTGTAAGATAAATTATTCCCTTCTTTGCTTTAGAACTTTCCTCATTCTTATTTTGGATCGGCTTTTATTCCTTTCATTTTTTTGTTTTCTTCTTCAGGTGATCTTAAAATTTTCTACCAGGTTCGAACAACTCTCCATGTACGCACGCCCCAATTTTCGATGCATATCTTTGCCGCTACTGCGCAATCTCGTTCCCAGAGTCTGCAGAACGTTCGCTGGACAAGGGTAATGCGGACTCTGGAAACGACGTTAGCTACCGCGCGACTCGGGCGGGAACTTCCTCGGATGTGACGTTTTATAGAGAAATTTGGGAAAAAGAGAATTTCACTCCGAGAAAAGCGCCCACATTGGACAAATTTGAGAGCAACTTGAAAACCATCATTTATTCATTTATATTCCAAATGGAATGCTTTTATAATTAACGAATTCTACACTCTGATTGGCTAACACTATCTATTGCGTGATAGACAGTGAGTAGGAAACCAGCGTTTGGAACAAAAACAGAGTAACGACAATCAATTTCTTCGAGAAATCGTTATATGTGTGATGCTTCTGAGGAAGAAATAGATAAACTAAACAAACTTAAGCGGCCACATGTTGATAGGGAATGAGCATTTTTTATCCAGGGTATACTAAGGACAAATGTCATTGTTTCTCGGTGACAAACAAAAGAAGTTTCGAGACGTTTTCGTGAATTCAAGTTGTGTACACCCAAACCTCTTTAAGGAGCTGTGTCACGAAATTCAGGAAAATTACAAAATGCCCGTTAAATTTAGAGAAACGTAAAAATAACCGCTGAAAACTTTAAAGGAAGGTTAAAATAACATAACAGAAACAACAGATGCCACAGATGGGCAAAACTGAAGAAGATTGAGACGGATTGAAATCAGTGTTTTTGAAAACTGTTCAGCCCAACAGTTTTTCAAAGTTGATCCCTGCTGCTTGCAACTTCAAAAATAATGCTCAGCAGACATATTTGTTTGTCTCGGATCTCTGAGTTTGTCATTTACCTGTAATTTCTTTGCCTACTTTAAGTTCCATAGCGGTTGAGGGCGAGTAATTGGCAAAACTAAACACAATGAAGTGGACTGCCTTGACACAGCCCCTACGGACACCAAAGGGACAGAACCAAGTGTCCGCTTTACAGAGGTGTCCGTATTATAGAGGTAGGGAATGCATGATTTTTGGCATTTCTGGTACCATACGAACTGTCTGTAATAGAGAGGTGTCCGTATAATAGAGGTGTCCGTAGGGAAAGGTTAGACTGTAAACAGACCTTTTTTTATATATATATTTTCATCAAACCTTTTTTCTAGAATCGTAGGGGGAGCATATATCCGGGGGGGGGAACTCCGCATATGAAAGGGGTGGGGATGCTCGTCGTCTTGCTTAGGGGTATAAATTTCGGATTTTGGTCTCATTTAGGGTGTTCTGGGCAAAACGCCATCATATTTAG